ATGCTTTAGGAAAAACTGGATAAAATGCTCTATCTATCTATCTATCTATCTATCTATCTATCTATCTATCTATCTATCTATCTATCTATCTATCTATCTATCTATCTATCTATCTATCATCTATGTATCATATAGTTAATGTATCATGTGTATAAATAATGTTAAAAATTGACAATCTTGTGAGGCTGCATTATTAGGTGTCCGCATGCGGCCCCTGACTATTTGGGAACTAATAACTAATTTTTCACATGGCTCAACTAGAACTTTAAAGGCAATATCTGATGCCTATAGTTAGGAAAAGCAGCTCCTTTTGCAGAGAAAAGTTATTTTTCCCACTTTTGCCCTTCCTCCTAATTAGTTCTATCATTTTTTAAATCTTTTGTTAATGGTAAAACAAACAATGAATGAAGTAGCAATGAAATACTATTCTTTTTTATTAATGAAAGCTATTAATTACAAATTGATGCAGAATATTGTGTCTCATTCTCAAGAAGTGTATATCACTAGTATTATTAGATCAATTCATCTAATAATCAATTAAATCAATTAACTGTAACTATGCATCCTAAAAAAGGATTTTTTTGAAAGTATAATAAATCAATATGCATCTAGAATGCTAGATGCATATTGATTTATAAAGAATAAAGATCGTATGTAACAAACTGCTGGTTGGACCTGGGTGGTATTCTATTTTATGTAACTACTACATAGGCAGAAGTTAGATTGGAAGAGCGACTTAAATGTAATTCATAAAACTCCTTTCAAGACATAATATTTTTATTCCACGGGAATTTTATCACCTGTTTCTTCAAACTGATAACACAGCCTTTCCAAGCTCCCTTGGTGCATGGAATTTACCCAGAGACTATGCTTAAAGTACATACAAAGATTACGTTCAATATGGCCGTACAATCCATATCAATAAATGATTTTGGAAGGAGGGTGGTTTTAATAAAGAAGAAAATTTTTACTAATATTCATGATATTATCACTCTAGAACAGGGGTATCAAACTCGCTTCCCGCAGATGGAATGTATCATGCGCTGGCCATGCCAGTTTAGCAAAGGGGGGGGAAGTCACGATACATCACATGATGACACCATGACAATGCAGGCTTGACACCCCTGCTCTTGAACCTCATCTCCTAAATATATATTGCATATAGCAAATTTAACAGTGTCTGGTAATGCGTGAATTTTAAGTCTTGATAAAAAATTTGTGTGCAAGTGACAAAAACCAAACCTAAATCTAGAAGATTTGCTGGTCTGGGTGTTTCAAGAACAGATTTTATATAAAAAAATAGGGAACATATATCTATTTAGTTTTATTTAATTTAAGTTAATCTGTTGCCCTCTTTTACTTTTTGTTTTCTTTTCCTTTCTATGCAGGCTTTCTTTCTTTCCTTTCCAAAATAGCATTTAAAAAGTGCTTTTGAAGGAACACCAAACTTAGATTAAGTAACTAGCTATTGATTAAGACCTCTCAAATAAAACTAGCATTAGGCTTTACAATAATTTTCTGGAAGTTCCATCTAAATGTATTGTTATAGCATAGGAATTGAAGTACGTTTCCTTCAATCTTGAACAGGATTTGCACCTCAGATGGCTTCTGCTGGGACTCTCTGTATAAGTAGGGCATAGTATCATCCCCTCCGTGTGATTTTAGGATCCCACATCAAACTGTAGATCACACTATGACCGGCTGTAAGCGTAGGGCACATACCAGTCCAGTTTCTTATTTTTTTTAAAATATAAACAATGCTGTGCTTCAAGGGTTAAATGGCTCTAGACATTGATATTTTAACAGATCTTTTTAACATTTATATTTTGTTGCAGTCTACTAATCAATCTAGTTGAAATGTTACATTATATTGCTAGTACATGTATGACATGCCATATGCTAAATAAATAAATAATAACATTTTCTTCAAGGTTGCCCCATTAAAAAAACCCGCATGCATTCTGATCTTTGCATGTGGTTTACCATAGATACAGTAGATCAGATGCACTAGTATGCTTCAAAAAGGAAAAAAGAACATACCAGTGGCAATTATAAACTTTGTAGGTTTTTTAAGATGGTAAATTTGATCCAAACATTTTTATTTCCATTTTAAATTTTTAAAAAGCTATAATTCAGATTCAAGACAGCCTAATAAGCATGGCGAAAGCCACTTTTAATCAAAGCTCATTTTAGAACGATGAAATAAGTGCAATGGTTATAAAGTACACTCCAACCATTTTAAAAACTACTTGCAAACCGATAACTGCAGAAGAATGGAAAATTAGCACCTTTTTATGTTGCATTAATCTAAATTATGTAAAATGAAATGGAAGGGTCTCCATTTGAGAGAGTCTTAAAAGAGACATATTTAGGCCTTGCAAATACAAGCATACTTTCAGAAACACATTGAAATACTGAAAACAAAAATCATAATAGAACATGCACCTATGCAAATATATGCACCAAACTCTGACCATATTATTTATTATTTTATTTAATTTAAGGTAAGGTAGAGTAGAGTAGGTTGAAAAATAATCTCAGTAAGTCTTCTAACTTAAAGCAGGCATTACAAATATTCAGTCATAATAGGATTTTACATGTACACAACCTTTACTAAGATAATCAGATAGACATATTTAAAAGCTGTGCCCATAGACAATAGAGAAATATGTTGCTTATGAAAATAGTTTTAGTAAACATTGACTTCGGAGTGAGTGAACAACATAAAATCAGTAATAATAAAGTGATACCTTCAGCCAGTGGATCAAGTGTGTGAATCATAAGTTGGAAAATGCTGTTCCTCATTAGACTATTGTGCAGAGATGCAGAACTTCCACCTCTTTGAAGGCGTGGTTTAATCTAAAGAAAGAGGGGGGAAAAAGATTTCTGAGCATAGAATATGGGGGAAATGCTGATAAATATGTTTTAAATGACAGAAAGAAAGAGACAAGAGACATTTCTTTCCAACTTACACTGCAGTAGAATCTGTATCTATACCTCATTTGCAACCTTAATTGGAAAAATAGGATTTCCTTTTCATGAAGTCAATTAAAAATTGAGACAGGTAATGAACAAAAATATCATTGTACTAAAATGATTTATCTCATCTAATAAATGTGAAGAATGCTAGTTAATGGCTGTGATGTACTTCATCATTGACATAATACCCACAGATGTAGTGTAAATGCAATAGCTGTCTATATCATAATTATATTTCTATAATTATGTCTCTAAGAATTGAAATCCATTCTGGGATCTATTTTTATTTTTTCCCCATTCACTTATTGAAACCATTTTTCAGAGACTGCTTGGGCAAGTCTCTACAGTTTTCTTTCTTATAGGTTTTCAGAAGTGGTTTGCCATTGCCTCAGGCTTTCATCTCACACACACAAAAACATGGAAGCTCTAAAGATTTTCCGTTTTACTTCAAGGCTGAAGGAGGGTTAACAGGGGCTTGCCTGCAGAGTTTGCTTTGAAATAGGAATGAGCAGAAAAAAACATCCAAAGCAAATCCAGAGTCCCAAAAATCAGATCAGGATTGTCCAAGTTTAAGCTTTCCCTCACAAACATCAAATGCCAGAGGTCAGCCATTGTTTCCAATAAAAAGAGCATGGTCAGAACTGCTTTTTAAATAAAACTGCAGCCAGTTGCCTCTAATAAATACACCCTTGCTTGGCAAGGAACCTAATAGACCTTTTTTGCTCTACACTTGTCTATTCATCATTGAGTGGGGTGTGTGTGCAAGGAGGCTGTATGTCATCTTCATTTGATTTCTTCAGCTGCTCAGGTGGCCCCTGTGTTTGTTCAGCCTCCTGTGATTCCTGGCCTTGTGTCTCCTAAGGCTGACATTCCATAGGCTCAGCTGGCACAACTTCCTCAGGGTCAGAATATGAGTTCTAAGCCTGGGCTATGAGGCTTCCTAGGGCTGAGGAAAATGACTAGCCCAAGGTCACCCAGCTGGCTTTGTGGCTCAGGCAGGATTAGAACTCATAGTCACCCAGTTTCTATCCCAGAGGTGTTAAACTCTCGTCATGGCAGCATCACGTGATGTATTGTGACTTTTCTGCCCCTTTGCTAATGCATACGGGCCGTGGTTTTGATACCCCTGTTCTAGTCTGATGCAGCAGAAAATGAGTGCATTTGCACAAGGTCTTATTTTTTCCTGATTTTGCCAATTTAAAATATATATCCCCATCTCATTTTCTATGGGCCAAGGTTATCTGGATGTCAAATTTGTCTCCCTTAGTTGTTTTGCTTTCCAAACATTATCTGCATCTTATGTAAAAGAATTTGAAGCAAATTAGGTTTCCTGAGTTCCAGACTTTAAGGAGCCAGGATTAAATAGTATAACTATCAATCCACAATTCACTTAAAAGAAAATACCATTCAGCAGAATAACAGCCAAAGAGTCGTTTCTTTAGCCAACTAAAGTTGGTGGGAAATTTGCTGGTTTTGCCTCAGAACTGAAGATGGATTAATAATAGGTTTATCTTCTGTGAAAATGAAAATATTGCTAAATATTTTTGATTAGGGTTTTTTTCATCAACATATTTTGAATTCATATTTTCTACTTTCCTGTCATATCTATGTCCAATCCCACTTCTGTAATACTTACTATATATTTGTAATTAATATAAATTATTTTTTTTATAATTTCATGTTTTAAAACAGGAACATTGGAAAGAGACAAAAAGGAGACAGAAAAAAATGATTAAAAAGGAAGAAAAAGATATAATAGTATTGGAAGAAATATCCAGGTCCAGTTCCAAGCTGGGAGAAAGGCACTGGAGATAAAATGGAGGCTGGAGACTGATTGGAAAGAAAGGTTCCCTTTATTGATGAAGCAGAACTACCAACCATATGTGGTGTTCCTGTGCAAGAAGGTGTCCTTTAATATTCTATTGGCTGTTGTCAGATTCCTGTGGGGTCATAGTTGGCTCTATAGGCAAAAGGAGAAATGCAAATCCTAAATGCTTGTCTGAGCTAATCCTCTCAACCCTGTTTCCTGTCTGACCCAGTCTTTCAGAATGGATTACCAAATCTGCATTTCTAAAAGCGGGCCTCCGCAGTTTCTGCTTGGGGACAAGGAGACTGGTGCTGGTTTCTGCCTCCCTTAAGATTTTTCCCTACTTCTTCCTTAGGGGAAATATTTTATCCTGCCTTTTGTAATATTTCCCAAAATATTTCATTCTTCTGAGGTGGTGGTGGTGAGCTTCCCACAATAGGAAAACACAGGAGGGAACAGAAATATAAGAGATAGTTAGGTTGTATGTAGTCTAATATTTTCCAAGAATATGAGGCTACTAGATTTGTTCTGCAAATGTCCAAATAACCACAAGATGGGAGCAAAGAGCTGAAATTGTTTGTTTGATTTTGGGAAGGGGGGGGGAATGTCTTGTACAAGGATAAATGAATCAAATGGTTTGCAAGCCAAAACAGGGCTAAAAATCATATTAAATCTGGTGTGAAGAATCAATTTTATTGAATATTCTGATTCAATGTATTGCCTCAAAAGAAGGCAATTATTAGACAATTATTGATATATTTGAGATCCACAAAGAATTAAGAGAAACTAGACAAAACTGCTTTCTTCAAATCAGCTAGGACTTCTTCCTAATATGCAGAAGCAATTTACATACACACGTACACAATTTTATTAATTTTTTTAAAAAAGACCAACAGGAACCAATGTATAGTAAGAAAAATAAGAAGACAAAAGGAAACCAAGAAGCTAAAATTGCAAAAGCAAAGAAAGAAAAAAAAGATACAAAGAAGTTTCCAATCTTCTTTACAGCAGCTATAAATATAGGTAGAAATTTACTACTTGCTCAATGGTTACAAATAACTCCCTTCTTTCTATTATCTATCCTGTCTTATCATCAAAACAAAAAAATGCCATATAAATATAGCTATTTTTTTGTGTCACTGTTTAAATTGTACATCTGTTGACAAAACAGGTATTATTTGAAACAAAAATATTATCTTTGGTTAAACTTTTGTTTTATCACAGAAATTCTACCCAATAGTTGCAAGTTTAATTTTTCCCTTCTTAATATTGATTTTAGTCCATGTTGCATCATATTCATTTTTAAATCACATACAATCCATATCTATTATAGTAATAGCGAAGAATTTTACTTATTTGATATTGTAATTTTGTTTTTTTGTTAATATCTTTGTTGTCTGATCTTGAAATCTGCTAATGTACCAGGACCTTTAATTTTTCCATTAATGCCTTGATTAATATCATCCACGAATGCTATTATGTTTGTTTTTTAACCTTAACATCCATAATTTTTTAAACTTGTCTTATGTCTCTATTCAATATCAAGAAACAAAAGAAACAAAAGTAGAGACAGTGGATATCCTTATTTTGTCCCCTTATGAATATCCTAAGGTTTTGTTAGTTCTCCATTAACAATTATTTGTGCTTTCTGAAAAACATAAATCAACCTTACCCATTTAATAAAATTATCTCCAAGATTCATGTGTCCTAGAACTCTAAAAAAAAACCACAATTCAAATTGTCAAAGCCTTTTTCTACATCCAAGAATATAAACACAGCTTGTTTTTCATTATGTTGCTCCAAGTATTCCAGAATATTCAAAACATTTCTTTTATTACCTCAGAATTTCTTTTTTTAAATAAAAACTTGCTTTGAACTTATTGCATAAAATTCTGTAAAACTATTTTCAAACTTTTGTCCAAAATCATAGAAAACAATTTGCTATCATTATTCAATAAAGACTAAAGGTAGTTTCTTATTTAAATCAAATCTTGTCCCTCTTTGGGTATTAGTTATATTAGCCTTTTTCAAACTATCAGGTATCTTTTCATTCTGCAAAATAATATTCATCATTTGTTATAATGCTCACCTTCAGAACTATGCAAAACAAAATTTCCAAATAAATTGGACAAGTGTTTGGTATACAAGTTGTAAAAAGAAAAAGAAAAGAAAGTGATACTAATCTTAACAGAAGGGAATACTGTAATAACAGATAATGTGCATACGCAAAAAAATGTTTCATCAAGACTATACTACTTTATAAAAAGCTCTCTAAAGGAGATGAGAGATTGTCCTATTTGCAGTTTTCTGCTTGAAATAGCAAAATTTATTTCTAGTCAGCAAATGATCTGCAATACTTCAGAGGACAAATGTTCTTTCATTTCAGTGTTCCCAAATAGGAGCATTTCTTCAGAAGCTGAGCTGGTTATTGACACCTATATGTAAAAAGTTCTACCTTCAACACAGGATTTTTCAAAAGGCTGAGCACTATGACGACAGGGATTAGTAATCATCTTAATGTGTAATAATTTTGTGGGATCTTTAATGCTCTCTGAGCTTGTTCATTTGCTTGCAGACATTTCATTATTCAACCAAGTAATAGCATCCATGGAAGTAAGTTTGCAAGTGAAAGTACTGACTTGCAATACAGTACAATTGGGTTGCTGGTAGGAGAATTGCTATTGTTAAAAACAAAGTTGGAAGGGACCTTGGAGGTCCTCTAATCCAACCCCCTGCTCAAGCAGGAGATCCTATACCATTTCAGACAAGTGGCTGCCCAGTCTCTTCTTAAAAGCCTCCAGTGATGGAGCACTCCCAACTTCTGAAGGCGAAACCAGTTCCACTGGTTAATTGTTCTCACTCTTAGGAAGTTTCTCTTGAATTTCAGGTTGCTTCTCTCCTTGGTTAGTTTCCATCCATTGTTTCTTGCCCTGCCAATTGGTGTTTTGGAAAGTAGGTTGACTCCTCCTTCTTTGTGGCAGCCCCTCAAATTTGGGAACACTGCTATCATGTCACTCTGTTCATTAAACTAGACACACCCAACCCCTACAACCATTCTTCATATGTTTTAGCC